GCAGAATTCGAGGAGGCACAAGTGGAGGGTGAAAGAGAGAAATGTGCCAGGAGGAAGGTACGTCAAGCCAACCCCAACCGGGACCGCCTTCCACCTGGAAACCAATGCCCACACTGCGGAAGAAGATGCAGAGCAAGAATAGGGCTCCACAGCCACATGCGGACCCACAAGGAAACCCATAATGGAAGACCATCTTACTCGTCCAACGAGGGATCGCCTAAGTAAGTAAGTAAGGCCAAACAGGATATAGGGTTACAGCCTGTGCTGGACGGGGTTACACTCCTCCTGAAGACACAAGTTCGCAGCTTGGAAGTGCTCCTGGACTCATCGCTGAGCCCAGGAGCACTTTTTCAGGTTTCAACAGTGGCCAGAGGAGCTTTCGCACAATTAAAACTTATGTGCCAGTTGCGCCTATACCTTGGAAAGTCAGACTTGGCCACAGTGCTCCATGCTCGTTACATCTCATATTGCAACACTCTCTACATGGGTTACCTTTGAAGATGGCCTGGAAGCTTCAATTAGTCCAATAGGCAGCAGCCAGATTTCTAACTGGGGCAGCGTCCAGGGAGTATACTACTCCTCTGTTACATCAGTCTGCTACCGAGCCAAATTCAATGAACTGATCTTGGCCTATAAAGCCCTGAACGGTTCTGGTCCAACTTACCTGTCCGAACGCATCTCCCTCTATGAGCCTACAAGAGCTTTAAGATCAGTTGGGGAGGCCCTGCTCTCTGTCCCAACCTCTTCGCAAGCGCATTTGATTGGGACGAGAGACAGGGCCTTCTCAGTGGTGGCTTCTCATCTGATGTCACACCTCCTCAGTGACATCAGGTAAGCTCCATCCCTCCTGATTTTTAGAAAAAAACTTATGACCTGGCTTTTTACACAAGCGTTTGGTGAAACAGGAAAGTAAAGAATAAGACTTCAACAGTTTGAATAATGAACTATGGATTTTGGGAAACGATTATGGATATGAGATCATGACTTGGTATTTTATATGGTTTTTAATCTGTTTTATTTATTGATGTGTGTTTTAATTGCTTATATGTTTAAATTGTTATATTTTGATGAGATGTGTTTTATTGGTTACCTATGCGGCATTGAATTTTTGCTGCTTTGACTCCCCTCCGAGGTCAAGAAAGGAGGGGTAGAAATGAAGTAAAAAATATTAATTAGTGTAGCAAATGAGCAGCAAAGATGAGTCCTGTGGTCTTCTAGTATTAGGTTGCAGATTCCCCACTTTTGTGCTCCAGTCTTGGCTCACAATGAAAATGAAATCATTTTAGTTACTCCCTTTTGCATCTTTTTTTCCTGAGTAAATAACAGATTTCAGGTAGGGAAACCACATGCAGCACTGCAGGTGCAGACAGACCACAAATATGTATTACGGATAAACTTTGGATAATACTGGAGGTTTTATTTCAAGTCAGTGTTCTAATTTTAATTTCCTTTTGTAATTCCCAACACAGACATTTTTAGTGTTTTGCAATGAAGCACTTTTCAATTATCTTCAATGAAGATCCTAAACCTTTGTGCCAGGAGGACCGTTGATTAGAAGGTTGGTGGTTCAAATCCGGAGAGTGGGGTGAACTCCTGTCTGCCAGCTCCAGCTTCCCAGGCAGGGACATGAGAGAAGCCTCCTGCAGGATGGTAAAACATTCGGGCATCCCCTGGGCAACGTCCTTGCAGACAGCCAATTCTCTCACACCAGAAGCAACTTGTAGTTTCTCAAGTTGCTCCTGGCATGAAAACAACAACAAAGATCCCAAGTCACAATCTATTTAGTCCCTATAAACATATTGTTAGTTCTTCAGAGAGCTTCTAATGTCTACACGGGATAGTTGATCAATGGGGTGTGTGAGCAAACGTGTGTAGTTCTGATGTTTGTAGATGAATTAAGATTGTCTTACCTGTTTTTAATTTCTTCTTATGAGCCACCAACACAGCAACAACCATTTACGCTTTATGCTACACAAAAAGGCAGAGACGGTTCTTACTGTTTGTACTGTTTTTCTTTAAAGATTATTTTTTACAGTTTGAATCACATGAGAAGGCACTTGTAATCTGTGATTATCCCCCCTCCCCTCTCTTCCACAGTTAAAAATCAGCTTGTGGTCAACACATACACAGCAAAAGTTTATACAGAAACCAGAGGGGAACAACTCCTTCTCCATATACAACTGCTGGGGAGAAACTAGGCATTACAGGCTAGTAACCTTAATACAGGCTTGTGGTAGGAGAAGTGTTGCCTTCCTCTGCCTCCCCAAAACACAGAAAGGCAATGTAAGCATTGAGTTGCATTTGCATTGGCATGTCTAGTTGAAAACTTACAGCACTTTCAAGTTGGCACTGAGAAGGTGGTCAGCACTGACCTTTCCAATAAAGTGCTGAGTTTTTCAATACTGTGTGAGAGAATTCAGATTTGGTCACCAGCACTGAATTTGCACTCCTTACCTCACTTAGTAAGGGAGAGGGTTATTTTGATGAAGATGGGAAGACAATCTCTCTCTGAGAGAGAATGGCTCCCTTCTAAGGATGGGTTTGACTTGCTTTTGCTTAGCAAATATTACTCTTGAGGACTGAGACCCAGCCTTGGGGGGGGGGGGTTGGGCATAAAGAAAGTGATTGATTGATTAATTGATTGATTGGATAGAAATATGATACAAAATATATGGTGAATCAGGTGGGATTTCAGATGGCACACATCAAACTGAGCTGCCCCAAACATCCACTAGGAACTGATAATGGGAGAGAAGGGGTGGGTGGACAGAAATAGCGAAAGGTATGTATTGAGAGCCCTCGGTGGTGCAGTGGGTTAAACTGCTGAGCTGCTGAACTTGTTGACCAATAGGTTGGCGGAGGGAGCAGAGCGAGCTTCTGTTGTTATCCCCAGCTTCTGCCAACCTAGCAGTTCAAAAACATGCAAATGTGAGCAGACCAATAGGTACCGCTTTGGCAGGATGGTAATGGCACTCCATGCAATTATGCTGGCAACATGGAGGAGTCTACAGACAATGCTGGTTCTTCAGCTTAGAAATGGAGTTGAGCACCCACCCACCCCTCCCCGAGTTGGACATAAAGAGACTTAATGTCAAGGGGAAACTTTTACCTTTTATGTATTGAGAAATGAAAGAAAGGAAGGAGCAGCTCCTGGGATTCCATTATCTGATGCAGAAAAATTAAAATGTTTCATGGTGTCCAATTTTCAATCCTTGATAAACTCTAAGTTATTTACTCTAAGACTAGTGAATATCATATGGGACACTTACATTCCTTTGCCTCAGTGGATGTATGATTCATGGGTTTGGGGAAAACAGCGGCATTTGGTAAAGGGAAACATGCCCACCCTCCAAAGGTGGTGTCAACTCAAAAGACAAAATCATTTCCATCCCATTTTTTATACCAGAAATAATGAAAATCAGCCACACACACACACAAAATAGTAAACCATCTCCCAGGAACATTGTTAAAAATACAGCTTTGTCCACCCATCCCATTGGTTTCTCTCACCCCATTTTTTTTACTTAAAATATATACACATTATACATCATTTATGTAAAATAAACTCAGTTAGAAATTCTTCTTTGTGCATTCTGTAAATTATTTAAAAGAACTTTCTCAAACAAAAGGCTTGTCTGGAGGAATCTCAAAAACAGAGCAATTCGTTGGTTGGAAGCTAGAGTGGATTACAAGTGATTTGCAACTTCTATGGAAAGGGCTGCCGGGATGGAGCAATCCCTGGATGTTCTATGCAGGGAACCAACGGTTACCTCTTGCACCATGGTACAAAGCATATGGGGCCCCAGGTAGGAGCTGATGTATTTCAAATGGCCTAATTTAACTACTCCAATGGAAAATGCTAGGTGGATACAGATGGGTGTTTACACCATGTTGAAAGACAGACAATTGACCAAGAAATGCAAGGGATACATTCAGAGTAATCCAGTGTACATTTACTCTGAGACAAGTCCAAAGAACTTGCTAACAGATAAATGTGCAAAGGACTGGAGACAAATTTGCTCATCCCCATAATGGATGCTCAGTGTGTTGCAGCAAGACCATGTAAGTAAAAAGTATTGTCGAAGGCTTTCATGGCCAGAATCACTGGGTTGTTGTATGTTTTTCGGGCTATATGGCCATGTTCTTGAAGTTTTCTCTCTTACATCTATGGCAGACATCCTCAGAGGTTGTGAGGTCTGTTGGAAATTAGGAAAATTGGGGATGCCTGCCATAGATGCAGGCAAAACATCAGGAGAGAATGCTTCTAGAACTGGACATATAGCCCAAAAAACCTACAACAACCCATGTAAGTTAGTTTTTAAGGTGCCAGAAAAGGCTCTGTAGTTTGCTTGAATTTGTTAATGATATCGACTAGATTAAAAAACACTATGGAGAGACTAAGGGACTATTTACACATCCTATATTGCTATAACATATTTTAATCCTTACTTGTAATTGATTTCTGTTTGACAGTGATTTTTTTAAAGGCTGTTTGAAAATGCATATTAAGTGTGTATTTCAACATGATTAAACTGCTAAGAAATGTGTCACAACATTCTGAGTAATGAAAAACGCATTGGAGAGCTATGCATTGGAGAGCTACACATTGGAGAGCTACACATAAGCCCAGAAGATGCAGATCTGAACATTTCATAGAGGAATTTGCAAAGACTGAATTCCTAAGAGTGACTATGGATTTTCCATATATCTATCTAGCAACAAATGCTCTATCTATGCCAGAAAAGATAAAATAATGGAAGACTTTTCTAAAAAGCCTCTTTACTTTCTCTCTGGTGACTTTTCTGTTCGTTTTCCTCTTTTTCCTCAGCAATGCTTGGAATTTGGAATTGGGGGGAATTCAGGAGATTTTTAAAAAGGGAGGGGGGCAGTGATGGTTTTATTGTTCTATTGAAAGTATTTTAAAAACACAGTATTTAAATATTTTAAAACAATAGTTTAAAAAGAATCATGAGTCACCAGCAGTTCTCATTATCAAAGGATTTTGGTGTATTTTAAAAACTAGGCACTATACATTCATTAAGGATAGATCCAGCAGTAGCTGTGAGAGAATGTAATCCTCCATAAAAGAGATTTCTATCCACAGTAAGAGACATAGACTACTTTTCTAAATGGACCTGCGTGGTTATGTTTAGTCCGGCAGCCATGAAGTACTTCAACTATTCCTGATGCATTGCAATAGTCAATAACTAAGGTTTAAGTGTCACATTGTTCTGTGCCACAAAGGCCAACTCAACGGTTCCCTTGTGGCAAGATTCAATGTGGCCCTTCTTGTGCTCTGCATTCACCAACCACTGAACAAGTCTCTGCTGAGAGCCACATTCCTGAAACATTCCCACCGGACATCGGCTAAGGCTCTTAAGATCTGTGGCATCACATTCTTTTAACAAAACAGCCAAGAACAAGAGTAAAAGGCACAAGGACTTTGTATATATATACAAAAAAAAAATCAGAGAAGACACACTGTAAGGCAAATGCAAGGTGTTCAAAGTGGCACTGGAGAGAAATCCAAGGCAACATCCATAGTTTACAGAAGGAACTGGGCTGAAGACCAAAACAGTTCCACACTGACTCAAGGGTCTTTAAAGTGGGAGGTGGGGAAGAAACTTGGTTAGCCAATGAACAGTCATCTTGATTTTGGGAACCTGAAGCAGCTGGACTATTCTCAAAGCTAGTCCTCACCCATCAACACCACCCACACAACATCCATCTTCTCTCAATGACACCAAGAGTTTGACCACCTCTTTAAAAGGCACATTTTCCCCACATATCCCATAAATCCAGAGTTTTAAGTACATCCCACAAGCAACAGTTGCTTTTCAGGTTCTGGATCCAAGCAGGATGGTGGTGGGGTTTGAAGGCACAATAGCATAACAAGAAAACCTACTTGAGCAGAAGAAGAGCTAATCCTACTACCCCCTGGTCCTGTCCAGCCCTATACAACCATGACTTCTGGTCACACTTGTCAGGAGGGCAGAGTTAAGGTAACTGAAGAAAATATCTCCGAGAGAAGCTGCAATAGGAGAAGTTAAAGACTGCTGTGGAATATGGAGAAGCTTACAATGAGGACAATTAGAGCGTGACATCCTCGGGTCCTACAAAGCAATCTCTTTAAAAGAGAATAAATTCTCTTTTAAGAATTTATTCCAGATCAAAGTTGGTTGTTCTAGATTTGGAGTGGTCAAACTATCCCCCCCCCCCCAATACTCCTATGAGCCCAAGCCAGCATAAACCTATGTTGACTGTGCTTTTCATGAAAACAAGAGTCACACAATATCTGGACTGTGAGAAGATGCCCAATGCAGCATTAGATATGATCATCCCTCGTTAGAGCTACCATCAGTACTGACTTTCTTCTTAACCATTTTCAAGCCTGCTGCAAACCACCTCAAGAACTGTCTCAGGTCCATCTTATCTCCCTTATCCTCAACATATCCTTCCTCATAACTAGTGTTTCATATCACAAACTATCTGTCTTTTCTTAAACCAATCACAGAACCAGCTTGGGTCTTTGCCTCCAGTTAGCTGGAAAGCTGAGATTGAGCTACTTAAGGCCTCTAGGGTGTTTTATCCACTAGACGGGCCAGTCTCCTATTTCTGAAGGCATCCTCCAAGCTCAATCTGGCAAACAGACAATCTTGGTAGACAGTGGAACCACCTTCCCTTCTCCTGCTGGAACATCTCCTGTGCTCTGCTAGTGACAGAAAGCCAGGTAAACCTCTAGATCTCACTCCCTGGCTCCCAGTTGGGAATGGTTATGAAAACTTCCTCTATAAAAGGAAATATTTCAAGGGGGAACAATACACTGCATATATCCCAAGAGGAATAACTGATTTATAATAGCTGTAGACAGCTTTACAAATTAAGCTTCAGTTTGAGGAAGATACAGTCCTCAAACTTCAGGCCCAAACCATCAGGTGAGCCTTTTGATGAAGCTGGAATCGGTCTCCTCTATAGATGCAGCTAAGTCCTTCTAAACCAGTGGTTCCCAAACTTATTTGGCTTAGCCCCTGGAAATCATTTTTTCTAAATCTTCTTTCTTTTATGCTTTCACCGCCCCCTTACAGTTATTCATCACCCCCAAATGCACCAGTGGCCATTATCGCGCCCCCCAGATCGCTTCAGCGCCCACCAGGGGGTGGTAACACCCACTTTGGGAATCACTGCTCTAAACCTTCAATCCTCTACCTCTATGTCCTTTTTAGCCCTCTGTTCCTTGAATGAGTTCTGCTTCCTCCAACTTCTCTTGGATATGTGGCCTTTTTAGTCGATCAATAACCACAATCAATAGCATGGTAGAGGCATCTATAGCCTCCCTTTCAAGAAATCTAGGACAACACCTATAAAGAATCTGGAAAGAGATGAGAATAATGATGAGATGTAGTGGGTACCTTTCACGCATCTGTATGCAGTATCCCCAACCTGTGGAACAGGGAGTGAGGCACAGTTCTGATGTCCACCTTAGATGGAGGGGAAAAGACCACTTTTTGGTCCCATGTGATACAAAGGGGGAAACTGGGCTGAGGTCCTGGTCCCCACACCCTATAATACGAAGGGGAGGGGGAACCATTAAAACACTGCACTGAGGATTTTTCCTCTTGGGGTTCAAGGTCACACTCAGACACTGAGGGGCCTTGTCCTGGTGCCCCATGGGATAAGTGCTCTCTGCTGTCCCCTTCAGGGTGTCCTGTGCTTGCAATGCTTGCTGAGGCTGCCAAGGGGGTAGGCTGGGGGGAGCAGGCTGCCCTGCTCCAAAGAAAAAAGCAACGGAGATGGGCACGCACCCCTCCGCCCCCTGCCCAAAGCCCCTCTCCCTGCAGTCACTAGCTACTAGTCCGGTGCTGTTTTAGCACTGTATACACGTTGTCCACTTTGCTCAGTCTCTCAAAGAATGGCAACAGGTCAAGAAGCTCCGTGTCAGCCATGTTGTCAAACCACGAAGCCACAGGCACCTGTGAGAATGGAAGGAAGGGACAGGTGAGAAGGTTGATGGCTCTCTGTAGGAAAGATATGGCTTCAACTGATGTCACTTTTGGCTAGGAAGCTAGAAGACTTGCCCACAAGCAGCTGCCTCTCTTTCAATGTGAGGAGTGGCTTATCAGCAGCTTCTCTATAAACAACAGTTGCCCTCCAGAGATGAATGCATTTTCTGTCTGAAGTGAGCCTTCCAAGCAAAAACTGCCAGCCCTACCTTTGCACCCCATAGGAATAAAGTGCTCTACTGCTCTCCAGGTGCTACTCACAGCATTATCAGGGTGGAAGACATAGGAAGCAGGGGAATTGTCCACTATGATGATCCGTGTCAGGTCCCGTCCAAGACGGCTGAGATCCTTGACGTAGTTGCCACGGTGGAAGACACAAGACTCGCGGAAGAGGCGGGACCTAAAAGCCCCCCACTTGTCCAGCAGGTCAGCCACAGGATCGGCATACTGGGTGTGGGATGAAAGATGTCATGGTTGTGGTGAGACAGAACGCAACCTGACTACACTCATGAAATGTAAATAGAGTGGAGCAGAGAGAGAGAGAGCTCTACATTATATTATGCACCATTCTTCCTTCTTTCTCCCAATGTCTAATATACCCTATAGTTTCTCTCAACCTAGCCGGTAAGGGTAGTTCTTCCCAAGATTTTTTCATTGGTCTCCTATCAAGGTCCAAGAAGAGGGGAGGACTGCAAATAAGTGCAAGTAAGGGGAAGGTTTAGTTTTTATTAGTCAAGCTGAGACAACACATTCCTTTTATCTAACACTCAGACCATTTCCCTCTTGAAGACTTCTTCATCCAGCTCTGTAGTTGGCTGGGTGCTTTAACCTTTTTTACTACAACTGACAGCAATGTGGTCAGATTTCAGACTTATTCATTCAGCTTTTTCCTATAGTTCCAAGAACTACCAACCAGAGTCAAGTGAAGAAGATCATCAGGGTTCTTCTAAGCACAATTTTCACCACCAGAATTTTGTTTTGCCCACGGTTGTTTTGCACAAATGTCCATTGGTGATTGTGGCAAACCCATTTCATTTCATCTCTCTTAATTTAAGTGAGAATATTATTTTGTTGCTGCTATTTGGAGTCAGAAGCTAGAGATCAGTGAGTTAGTAGATCCCCATTCCCTAAACCATCTAGAGATTAGTGGACTGGTAGATTCCCATTACAGTGGGGATGGAAACAGTGGTGGCTAGTGGCATTCATGTCAGTGGGAAGATGTATCTAAATGAAGGAAGCAAGGTAGGTTTAGACTGAAATTTAAAGGAATCAATTCTATATGCTAAGCATTAGATCTAAAACAGACTGAATTCCTTGGGTGCCTCCTTTACAGTTTTGTGTAAGACCCAGAACAGATTAATTGACCCACTATGGAAGCAACTTGTCACCAGTGGATGAAAACTGCAGGCAGACAGGTTTCTGGGCCTGTTCTGAGTTCATGATGTGGTTGGATTGTCAACCACGTAAAAACCCAGTTGTATAAATGCATAGGGAACCTGGGCTCACTTACATTCACCCCTTCCCTGGTATGGCCTGCTTGTTTACTGGAGGTGTGCGAAACGTCAGAAATCAATTTTGAAATCCGAAATCCGTGTGGCCACCATTTTGTTTTGTGTTTCAAAAAAATGGGACAGTTTGTTTCGAATCCAAAATTATGAAATTTTGTTATTATTTCGTTTCATTATTCCATCCTTTTGTGGCAATGGAAGAAGTTGGTAGAATTATTAATTGACCCAAAAATATTATTAATATGGCATTATGCTTTATGCCAGGTAAGGGAGTATTTTCTTCCCAGGAAAAGGAAAGGAAGGGGTTGGTAGAATTATTAATTGAACTAAATATACTTTTAATATGGCAAAGGAGGAAAGGAAGAAGTTGGTAGAACTATTAATAGATCCAAAAACATTGGAACTATTAATAGATCAAAAAAATATTAATATGGCACTATGTCTGTGGTTCTCAACTTGTGGGTCCCCAGGTGTTTTGGCCTACAACTCCCAGAAATCCAAGCCAGTTTACCAGCTGTTAGGATTTCTGGGAGTTGAAGGCCACAACATCTGGGGACTCACAGGTTGGGAACCATTGCACTATGCTTTATGCCTAGCAAGGGAGGATTTAATTCCCAGAAAAAAAGGAAAGAATGATCTTTGTAGAAGTATTAATTAATTTTAAAGAAATCCTAAGGGAAAAATTCTAATTAGTTTCCAAATAAAAAATGAATCATTAGTAAACGGAAAACCCACACATGCAAAGAAAATGATCCTAAAGGGATCCTCGACTGTGGCTGGCTGGCTGCTAGGACAGTAGCATTAAAAACTGCAAAAGCATTGGAGAACGGACAAATGAAGCTCCTTAGATAGCTCAATCTCCCTCTCAGAATGGTGACACTGCAGCGTATCAGGAGATTTAAAGTCAAATGCCAGCTGGGCTCTGTCTCCTTGCTTCTCCTTTCTCTCATGGAGGAGCAAGTTTGGCTGCACCTCCCAGGAGAGTTTGCTTGCATTTGCAAAACAAGCTGAAACATGGAGACTTATGAAAATAAACAAACTTTTCTGGAATTTTGATAATGGCTGTTTTATTCTGTTTGGGTTCAGCCATGTGCACGTGTGTGTGTCCAGGTTCGAAAGTTGAGTTATATGTATGCAATTCCGACAAAATGGTAACGACTTACAAACACATCCAAAATTTTGCACAGCTCTACTATTCACCCTAGTATCTCACTGGTATGCCCCACTATCTTTATTACCAACACTTAAAGAGAATCACCTTTGCTAGACTAGCAGTGAAGAGCACACATTCAAAGAGCTCGCCCATCCGCCGGAGGAACTCATCCACATGGGGCCGCTTTAGTACATACACCTGGGAAGAGGAAGGGAAAATGTGGAGAGAGAGTTATGGAGGGCAGAGGTTGGTATGCAAACAAGTCAAATCCCAGACCATCCACATCTCAATCGGATTACTGTAGCACTCTTTACATGTGAATGCTTTTGGAAACTGTCAGGAGGTCTAAAATACTGTTGCCGCACTGCTGACTGGGGTTGGTTATGTGAAACATAAATACATTTCTTGAAACTCATACCAAAAGCTAGTTTTATAGGATATCTTGCTTCCACCAACCACACTGTGACTGATGCATGCGCAAGGGTTTCTTGTCTTAAAGGATTCCTCTGCTTCCTACATTTCAACAAGGGGCAATCCACATCCCATTTGAGTTGCTGCAGTTCTTGGCTGGGAGGGGACAACCTGGAAGCCAGTCAAGAAACATGAGGAGATGTGTTTGGCAGGTCAAGTTCCTCTTCAGAGGTTGATGCATGCAGCTAGTATAGCTGTCCTGAAAGATGCCGCTGGCTGCCTCCAAGGCCAAGTAATCAAGAACAGGCTGACATCAGTACCCACAGCCTATCCTGGATTACTTGAAACTGGCCACAGTCCTGTTACATAAAAACAATATTCACAGCATGTACTGGAGAACAGAAGAAGTTGTGGACGTTCAGCCTCTGTTCAGGTGAAGTCATTCCAATTCCTTTGAGCACTGCGTTATAGGGCTATACCATTTGGTAATTCAAGCATTACCAGATCAGGATAGCATAGCCAAACCCACCAGCAATGACCATTATCCCTCTCCTCCCATTATGCTCATCCTTGTGGTTCCACCATACCTGGTGCATGACCCCATCAATCTCCACAGGGATGATGAAATCTGCATTGTTCACTGGCTGGAGAAGATACAAGAGAGTCATTAGGTCAGAGCGCAACAGGGTTTTTCAGTTTTCCCCACCTCCCTCTACTACATCATGCATCTCACTAATTCTTACCCAACTGGGTTACTTCGGCAGCAGCTTCATATAGTTTCTGGGGAAAGGATGGGTTTGGAAAGTTACCCATTTAAGCTCCTAGAATCTCCTAGCTAACATGGCCATGATGGATAAAGGATTAGTAAAGGTAAAGGTTTTCCCCTGACATTAAGTTTACTCGTGTCCGACGCTGGGGGGTTGGTGCTCATCTCCATTTCTAAGCCAAAGAGCTGGCATTGTCTGTAGACACCCCCAAGCTAATATGGCTGGCATGACTGCATGGAGTGCCGTTACCTTCCTGCCAGAGCAATACCTGTTGATCTACTCACACTTGCATGCTTTCGAACTGCTAGGTTGGCAGAAGCTGGCGGTAACAACGGGAGCTCACCCCACTCCCCGGATTCGAACCTGCGACCTTTCAGTCAGCAAGTTCAGCAGCTCTGTGGTTTAACCCACTGCGCCACCGGGGGGGGGGGGTGTAGGGATAGAGGATTAGGGGTGTTGTATTCCAAAAAAGTAGTTTTCCTAGGTCCTGAAATAAGGCTGGTATTAGGCTTCTGCCTTGCATGTAAGTAAGCCATGCCACTGCTTTCCCCTTTCTCTCTGCCAGGGTCCCAGTCATGCCAGCTGCTCCTGGCTCTCGCAGTCCTGGCAGAAGGAACTGCCTAGAGTTGGATCCTTCTTTGTAGAGTTTTAGAACAAGCCTCTCTGTGCAATTTTTAAAAGAGTTGAGGGCAACTGGGATACCAAGCAGCTGAAAAGGGAGCGTGTAATCTGAACTGCTATTTTTGGAATGAATGTAATAGATTCTCTTGGCTTTCCACTAAGGGATAAAGTACAACTCAGCAGGGAAAAAGGGGGAAACCCTGAAAAATATTCTTTTTTTCCAATTCCATGAGTAGGGAAAATGAAACCATACAGGCTGATTACCCTGTGAAGATACAGACATCCATATAGAATTGTGCTTAAGCTGTTATGCAACTCAAGTTTATAAGAATGGCAAACTCCACAGGTTCTCCATCTTGCTTGAGGCCAGGAGATGAATTAGCCAAGAAGCCATTTCTCCAGTTTGCATGCCCAAATCTGGAAGGTTTGTCAATTTTAATCATTAAAAGAGGTGGAAATGTAAGAGCAGTCCTGCTGGATCAGATCACGAGCTTATCTAAAGAATTCAGAATTCATTTTCCACATCAAAGGCCTCCATGTGAAACTCCTATGCTGGATATTTGTGTATAAGTAGTAACCTCTAACTTACATTCCCCAGCAAGAACTGCACAGCCTTCATAGCTAAGATAGCCTTTATCGAATTCTGGGGTGGAAATTATGTAGCTCTGCAGATGTTGGTGGATTCCAACATCCACCGGCCCTAGCTAGAACAGGAAATGCTGGGGCTTGCAGTCTAACAACAGCTGGAGACTGGGTTGTTGTAGGTTTTTTGGGCTATATGGCCATGTTGTAGTAGTCTCCCTCCTGATGTTTCGCCTGCATCTATGGCAAGCATCCTTAGATATTGCGCAACCTCACAACCTCTGAGGATGCTTGTCATAGATGCAGGTGAAACATCAGGAGCGAATGCTACTAGAACATGGCCATATATCCTGAAAAATCTACCACAATCCAGTGATTCCGGCCATGAAAGCCTTCGACAATATACAGCTAGAAAACTGCATAATTCCCACACCTGACTAAATGTATTTATTATACCTGTATTGCAGGCTTGACTTCTGTGGACTTGATTATTCATGGATTTGATTAATACAGTCTTTCTACAGATTTTCAGTCTTCCAGTGAAACTATACAGTCAATTTCAACTGGTTATTGACCATAAAGTTTCACTGGAAGACATAGAGATTCCTAGAGAAGTATCCCCTCAGGTAAAAAAAAAACTAGTAGCTTTTTACCCACATTTTCCCACTTTTGTGGGAATCCTGCATTTCTAACCCCAGTAAATGTGGAGGGTGAATTGTACTTGTGAGTCACCCCTTAGATTTAACTACTCTGGACAATGAACAATTCTGTCTGAGAAAGTAGAGAAAGAGAATAGGCCTTTCTCCCACCACCAGCCCAATAAATCACATTCATTTGTTTGCTCAGTGACTCAATCTTTCCCAACATCAGATATTTTGGACTAAAACTCCCATCAGGCCCATTCAGCATGACCAGTAGTCAAGCATTATAGGACCTCTAAACATCTGGAATGAAGGAGGTTGAGACAATTTCCAATAAGTAATGAAGAAGCCTGGTTACTCTTTTGCTCCCAATCTAATAAACAAACCAAAAGGTACTACATGCGATGTAGTTTTATGAAAGTTGTTCCTCAAATTTAACTCAGCAGCAGTTAAGGCTAAAAATTTCCTGATGGGCATGATAAAAACATAATCAAGATATTATTATTATTATTATTATTATTATTATTATTATTATCTTTATTTGTACCCCGCTAGCATCTCCCGAAGGACTCGATGTGGCTTACACAGGCCAAAGCCTCAGAACACAATACAGCAAAACATAACACAACAATAAAACAAAAGCAAATCAAAATAGTTAAGCAGAATAACAACACTAGTAACAATACATCAGGACAGTTAAAAACTGGGCCGGCCAGAGCAGTGGGTACAGGGTTAAAAGTGCTGAAATGGCACTGTATATACTTGATACTGTATATACTTGAGTATAAGCCAAGTTTTTCTTCAATTTTTAGGCTGAAAAAACCTCCCTTATACTTGAATCAAAGTTATTATTTTACTCTGTCATTATTGTTATTACTATTACATTAATTATTTTACTCTATTTATTGTTATTATTACATTTACATTATTTTCCTCTATTATTATTATTACATATATCATTTTACTCTATTATTATTACTACGTACATTTATTATTTTACTCTATTTATTATTTTATTACATTTATTATTTTACTCTATTATTGTTATTATTACATTTCCATTATTTTACTCTATTATTATTATTCTTATTATTCTTATTACATTCATTATGTTGCTCTATTATTGTTATTATTGCATTTCCATTACTTTACTATGTTTTTATTACATTTATTATTTTATTCTATTTATTATTATTATTGGAAGAATACATAAGCACATTTACACTGAAGGTTAGAATTATGGTTTAATCAGAGTTGGACAGTCTTATCTTAAATTGCAGTTCAATTCAAAAATAGTTAAGCTACTGATGCCTCAATTAATGTAATTTTATTGGTATCTATTTTTGTTTTGAAGTTTACCAGTAGCTGCTGCATTTCCCACCCTTGGTTTATACTTAAGTCAATACATTTTCCCAGTTTTTTGTGGTAAAATTAGATACCTCGGCTTATATTCGGGTCAGCTTATATTCGAGTACATACAGTACTACAATTTACCTTTGCCAGCTGCTGCCAATTTAGGTATTTGTTTCTTGCTCTGCTGGTGCTTCTCTCCCTTTTCTGCCTTTTAAAAAACAAGTCTTTTTCCAGGTTCTTAACTGAACCTGAAATCTACTTGGTGGGAAGAACGTGAATGTTCATTGAGCTGGACTTCCACACTGTAGAATTACTGCAGTGTGACACCACTTAAATAGCACACTGAAGTGGCACACACTTGTCATGACTCACTGCTCTGGCATCCTGGGAGTTGTAGTCTGGTGAGGTTCCAGCACTCCTTGGCAGAGGAGGCTGAAGGCCTTGGAGGAACCCCCAGCCTCCCACATCAGCATGGTCTGGGACAATGGGAGTTGGAATCCAACACTCCCAGGCAGGACCCAAGTTGAGAAAAGCTGGAATGATGGAAAGGTGGTCCGCCATTCTTTTTCAAACAGGCAGAAACAACTAAACAGATAAATAATTTTATAGGACCTATGTATAGAGGAAAGGGGACAGTGTATGTGTACATATTCTCATATATATATGATGGGGTGTTTGGGGAATGGACTGACCTTAAAGGAGCTATGTACCAACGTCTCATCCAAGTCAATGACCACACAGATCTTGCTGGCATCGTGAGGCTTGATTTCTGGCAGCAGGTATCTGACAGTAGCCTGCAGAAAGATACATGCACATGAATGAATGCCTGCACACATGAGAGACACCTGAGCTGCAGGTAACTCACATGGATAGCAGTGATAGTGGTGGTTGAAAAAAATGGGACACAAGAGAGTTGTTGAGGTCACTGGATCTCTCCTTGTGGTGCTGCAGTGAATGTTATGCTCTCTGTTTTGAACCTCTGCTGATCCCAAAGTATCATCTCAGTACTGAGAGATGCGACGCCTGACATCAGTCTTATAGAACAATAATCAGTCCATGGGGTAATTATTAGGTAGCAAGTAATCATCAAGCTGGAAGGCCTGGTGACAGATACACACACAAACATGTTTCATTTTCCATTCTGTGATGTAAGTGGGAGCAGAAAGTGTTTGGGTTGGGCTGGATTACACTGGAATGTAAGGGGAGGAGACAGGAGAATTTGCCCTGCAATGAAACGCAGGCGCTAGTAGTTCTACAACTGAACACCAGGGGGCACCAATGACAAGGATCAAGTGGCTCTAAAATCCACTTAACTTTCACTACCAGCTTAAAGAGGAGCTGGTAGTTCAGCAGCCATGGGTGATTTAAGGCCCCAGTTATCTCCATGACTTGATCAACAGCCTAATCTAATCAGGAACCACATGAGTTTGCCACATGTCTTGGGTCTACACAAAACAGGATGAAAGAGGCACTACAATTAATTATCAGGGATGTATCTTCAGCCATCTTTTGCCAACATCAAGTAAAAGCACCTTACTGAATAATAGGGAGCCCCCCGGGTGGCGCAAGGGGTTAAACCCTTGTGCCAGCAGGTCTGAAGACCAACAAGTTGGAGGTTCAAATCTAGGGAGAACGCGGATAAGCTCCCTCTGTCAGCTCCAGCTCCCCATGTGGGGTCATGAGAGAAGCCTCCTACGAGGATGGTAAAACATCTGGGCGCCCCCTGGGCAACATCCTTGCAGACAGCCAATTCTCTCACACCAGAAGCGACTTGCAGTTTCTCAAGTCACTACTGACATGAAACAACAACAACTGGATAATAGAATGTTAGAAATGTCAGTTCAAGGCCCTGGGAAGGTAGTTTGGCAAGTCAGGAGTGAGAGGGTGAAATATTTTAAAACTGGAGACTTTGTGTAACTGACTAATGTCTCCAGCAGATGGGTGTCCTGTTACTTGTAGTCCAAAAGATGAATTTCCCTAGACTGAAATTCCAAACGTCAGATTAAGGTACTACTCCCTAGACACAAATACAGGTTAAATAAAACACACCATGCCAATAGACCTGCAAGTCCAGGGTGAAACCTACAACATGGAAGATAAACCTTTACAGAAGCAAGTTCAGTCCTCAGTCCTGTCATCTATGGCATACAATTGTATACCTGGCCAGGGCAGGTAAGCAAATGGCACACTGGACAGAACACAACAGGTGAGCCGAAGTGATCAGGAAGAGTTATGCTTGCTTGCGTATTGCAACAATGTAAAGGTTTCTCCTTGAATGCCTGGATTGCAAGACGGACACCTTGCAGGCACGGAATTTAAGTACCTTTCTTACAAGTACAAGAGGTTGATTAATGTGCCATGAAAAGAGTAACTAATACATATTCAGTTATTTGGACTGTGTGCTACAAGGTTCTCGAGCTCTCACAAGGTATGCTGGGCTCCATGCCACTTGACTGAGCCCATTAAGGTTTGAAAGCTCTCTCCCATTTCTAGCCTGGTGTGCCAACCTTGGCACTGACAACATTAACATCTCATCGAGGAGCTCAGGAATTCTGACTCAAATAAACATGATCACAAATCCACAGGGAGACACATTATCAACTGAGAGAAGTGGCACAGGGTTGGGGGGACAGTGCTCTTTCTTCTGCCTCTTTTTTGAACCCTTGGGAATTGTGGTAACCAGAGGGATCTCCTACCCTGGAGAACATATAAGAATCCATCTCTAAGCTGCAAAGCAAAATCAACATCTTGGTTCAATGGTTATGAAGTCAGCCAGCCAGCTGGATGGGGGTTATGCCTACCTTGGTCACCGACCCATTTTCCTCCACCAGCAATGGGGCATTATTGTTAACAGGGATGGGCTCTGAGTTGTCACGGCAAACGCAACAAAACAGGGACTGGAAGATGCTGCGATTCCTGGGCTTCTTGGAAGGTGATGAGTGTTGAGTTCCTGCGAGGAACAAAGGCAAGTAGAAATGAAAAGGAAGGGTTATTTATCCAATCAAATCTCTTTTTTTTAGTCCTCCCTACTTGGCATATAAATTCCACCCATGCAGATGAGACACAGCATGGTTTTATTCTCCCTTTTTACAGTGTTCAGAAGTAGATGTCGGCATCCACAAGGGTACTGGAACCAAATCCCAGCAGACTGTATGTAGAGCCAAAGTTCCCCAAGTGTTTTCATTTTCTTTGTGGTCTTCACCAATCAGGATGCCTCTGATTGGATACATCTAAACTGTATAATGAATGCAGTTTGACACCATTTTAATTACCATGGCTCAATGCTAAGGCATTATGAGATTTGTAGTTTGGGAAGGCACCAGGAGTATTTGGCAGGGAACGCTACAGAGTGTGTGAAACTACAACTCCCATTATTCTATAGCATTGAGCCATTGCAGTTAAAGTGGTGTCAAACTCCATTCAGTCCACATTGTAGAACAGGCATGGGCAAACTTTGGCCCTCCAGGTGTTTTGGACTTCCACTCCCACAATTCCTAACAGTCTCATGCCCTTTCCTTTTCCCCCTCAGCTGCTTAAGAGAAAGGGAAAAGGAAGGGGTTTGGAGGATATTAGGAATTGTGGAAGTTCAAAACACTTGGAGGGCCAAAGTTTGCCCATGCCTAATCTACATTGTGGAATGAATGAAGTTTGACACAACTTCAACTGCCATGGCTGTTAGGAATTGTGGGAGCTGAAGTCCAAAACATCTGGAGGGCCAAAGTTTGCCCATGCCCGATGTAGATGCACCCCAACAAAGGCTTCCATCTCACATTTCTTAGTAACTCAATGAGGAACATCCAAAAGGAGAGTTCCTTGTCCCATGGTTCAGCAGCTTCCCTTCCCTTTTAGGCACTCAGGGCTTTAAAGACATACATTTACCTGCATGTAGAAAAAAACCCCCACAATTTACTCAGGAAACAAATGAATTTCCCACCACATGGAGAGAGAAAGGGATGCTTGCCAGGAAACTGCATTTGCCATGGCTCTGTGCCACAGCAAACAGAGTTGAAAACACACCTGACTGATGAGAAGAAGTCAAAGGATGCGGAAATATATCCTAATTCATGAATAGAAACATGCACAATGGCCAAGGAGTGGGATTGCTGAGCCACAGATTGAACATGCTGGTTGGACACCAACAACTTTCTGCCTAACATTATGGATAAAACTCTCAGCAGATTCCAGCGTGCCAGACAATACTTAATTGTTGTTGTTCTCAAGATATTAATTGAACATTGTGCATTACCAAAATGGCACAAACATTATTTTTTTAATGCTTGCCACTGCAAAGCAGAAAAAATGGAACTACAGAGAGATTAATCAGTAAATGAATCAGGGCGTATTGGCTAGATAGGCCTGGCTGAAGAAGATGGTGAACAAAATCAGTTAACCACCCCAACCAGACCAAGAGGAGAGGTTAAGCAGAATTAAGTAGAATACCTGGAGCCTCCAATGGCACAATGGGTTAAACCCTTGTGCCGGCAGGACTGAAGATCAACAGGTCGGAGGTTTGAATCAGAGGAGAGTGCGGATGACCTCCCTCTGTCAGCACCAGCTCCCCATGCAGGGACATGAGAGAAGCCTCCCATGAAAATGGTAAAACATCAAAACATCCCCTGGGCAACATCCTTGCAGACATCCAATTCTCTCACACCAGAAGCGACTTGCAGTTTCTCAAGTTACTCCTGACACACACACACACACACACACAAGCACAAGCACAATACCTCCCCCTATGATCTTTTTTGAGGAAGAAGAGGAGAAAGTGCCATGGCAAATACATCTATGAGTCTGACTAGAGTTGGGGCAGGGAGGAGGAGGAGGGAGATGAAAGACTACCATTACTGAATGGGAAAGCAAGCAGAGAAAGGGAGATGAAGGGCCCTTCCACACAGCCACATAACCTAAAGTATCAAGGCAGATACTCCACAATATCTGCTTTGAACTGGGTTATCTGAGTCCACATTGCCATATTATCAATGTGGATTTCACACAGCTGTGTGGAAGGGGCCAAAGAGACAAACAGCTGCTGAACAGGCTCTGCCATTGGGCATAATAGGGCAGTCACTTCTGGCATTAGGTGCTCAGCTTCCAGCTGGAAAAATGTTTCTTCTGAATTAAGATATTTGTTACATGTCCAATTTTTAGCCAGTAGTCTAGCAGGGAATGATTCTGCTTTTGTAAGGGGGGGTGGGATCTACATTGTAGGCCCACCTTCTCACATAAACCTCCTCTTTGGTTCTAGACAGATTTTTTTAAAAAACATAACCAAATCTTTCCATTGTCACACACGTGGTCCTCCTGGCAGAAGGAGAAAGGGTGTTTTTTTTGTAAAAAAAAATAATGAGCCACCTCCAAGATCTGGATTAAATTCACTTTTCCGTCTAATCCCTTTGCTGTGAGCGGCTCCTGCTCCCTAATCCGGCCCCAGATAATGAGATTCTTGCTCCTCTCTGATGTCCAGGTTCAGGGCTGCCAAGCCACTGGGAAGGAGGGACTGTAAGCCAGCAAAGAAAGCCAACAAGGAAATGACAGAGAGGGGAAACTGGCAGCAGCCTCAGTCCTGGCACCTCTGGGTCTCTGGAGTCACAAACACCCCTCTGCAAAACTCTCATGGGAATTAAACAGACACAGCTTTTGTCCAGCCTCTGCTTTATTTTGCCTTCATGTCTACTCAGAAGCAAATCCCACTATAGTTCAATGAGACTCAACACCAGGTAAGTATCTATATACAATATAGCAAAATTGACAACTTCGTGAAGATCCACTGACCTGCACACCCAACCCCAGCCTTTCCACTGAATCATACACTCAAAGGCAATGTATAGTCTGTTGAAGGCACATGTCTCCCATGATGCTGTCACTGCTGCCATCAAAATTTGGTGACAACTATGTCAGTACTACCATAGTGTTCCCCTGTAGTACAGTCCTTTTGAGACTGCAGGGCAGAGTACATTTTCTATTCATGATGCTAAAGCAGTGGCTCCCAACCTGTGGTCCGTGGACCACCAGCGGTCCGCAAGAACTAAAATATGGTCCGTGACCCCCACTGTTACTACAGCGTTGCAATGAGAGTGACTGGTCTCGTGAAATCCTCTTATAGTGCCAAGGCTTATTAAATATGGTTTTCTGTTAGTGAGCAGATGGCAACTACTGGATGGCAGATGTTCTGTATCAGAAACTAGAGCTGATGTGGTCTATCCAATGAAATCAGCACCCCAAATAAACAAACCAAATCTAAAGTTGACCAAAAACTGATTTGGAATCCTTTTGTTACTAATGTTGGAGAGTGGTCCCTGGTCAAAGTAGTCCCTGGTCAAAAAAATGTTGGGAACCACTGTGCTAAAAGAAAGAGAGCAATAGCAAATTGGGCGAAAGTGCAGTTGCAGTAAATGGAGGAACACCACCTAGTTTTTGGAGAGTGCATACTGAAAAGAAGGAGTTTTCAAGGTACATGCTACTCAATAGTTTGTCCCCATCATTTGGTACTCACTAGAAAAGTCCCTTTAATAGTTAAGAGGTTCCAAGAAACACACAGAAAATGTGTCTGTATAATTTTTGCAAGAAAGTCATGTAAGCCAACATCTTTCACCACGTCCGATGATAACTCCTTCTGCAAATCAGTTATGCATGCGCAATTGTGGATATATATATATATATATATATATATATATGAACTTCACATCTGTTGTTCCAGCCCAACTCAGGCTGACAAGCCTGCAAAGAGGTCCTATCCCCAAGGACCTGATATCTGTAATGTCGGAAGGGTGGCTAAGTGTCGATATGCAACCACAATGAAACCAAGAAGTTTCAAATAGCCAGATCAGCAATTCAGCCAGCTACTGTGGAAACCACAAGAAAAACTCAGAAAGTTGCTGCTCGACATCTTCATCACATCAACAGGTGCCCTCCCACAGTGAGCTCAGGAGATCAAAAGCAGTCATTCAAGTGAAATCATGACAAATAAAAGTCGAGAGTACTTGAGACTGCAGGAGGGCAGCTCACATCGTTTGAAGTTCTTCTGTTTGTTTGTATATGTGTGTGCCTCCAAGTTATCTTATGGTGACCTCAAGGATTTCATAGGGCTTTCTTAGGTGAGGAATGCCCAAAGAAGGTTTTAATGGGACAAAATTGGGTTTCTTTGAAGACAATGAGATATCATCTGGGTGTGGCCCTAAGAGATCTTTAGAGAAGTTAAGTATGCATCTAGTCCCTGCAAAGCACTTGAAGCGGTGTGTATGTGTATTGATTAGAATAAAGAGAATAGGGGATCACACCCAAAGGAAGGGTGCCTTCCTCGCAACTTGTAATCAGGTGCAATGTGCAACCACCAAGATCACCAAAGGTGTAAATGTCCCTGGATGGAGGCAGAGGCCTTGAGGCAAACAGGTGGGGAATACTGGACGGAGGTAAAGAAATTTCCTTTTGACCTGGGCTTCTTGGTTAAGGAAAAACCTGACCAAAGCCACAGAGAGAGATGGAGAGATCTTCAAATAAACGTTTTTGCCATGACTTCACACATTGTGGATACAGGGATTCTGCAGTTCCTGCTCACAATGTGTATGTTTGCTGAAGCATTATAAATTAAGCCCACAGAAGTTGCAAAATTTCCAAAACTACTTCCCTCCTCTAGCTAACAGCTAGTTTAGCTTCCGTGCTGAGTCTACAGAGGAAAAATAGTGAACTCTGGCCCTTTCCACACAACTGAATAAATCCCACATCTTCTGCTTTGAACTGGAATATATGGCAGTGTGGACTCAGATAACCCTGTTCAAAGCAGATATTGTGGGATTTTCTGCCTTGATATTCTGAGTTATATGGCTGTGTGGAAGCGTCTTCACTCTCTCCTCTGCTAGCCAGCTCACTCAGGTAAAGGTAAAGGTTTTCTCCTGGCATTAAGTCCCACACAGTCCTATATCCCAGAATATCAATGCAGAAAATCTCACATTA